TTTCCACAGACACGTTGCAATATAGGTTTAAAATGGGGAAAGTAGTGGTGTTTGGAAAAAAATTGGTAGTAAAGTTCGAACTACCCCCCCCCCCCTCCCCCACGAAATAGGATTTTTCGTGTTTGGACAAGAGACATTTTTAGCTCATCTGAGCAAAAGGCTCAAGTGAATGAAGAGCTTTTCAATGAAGAGCTTTTCTGATCAAAATTTTTCCGTTGTCTGTCGTTGTAGTCGTTGTCGTTGTCGTAAACTTTTCACATTTTCATCTTCTTCTGAAGAACCACTGGTCCAATTTCAACCAAACTTGCTACAAAGTATCCTTGGGTAAAAGGGATTCAAGTTTGTTCAAATGAAGGGCCATGCCCTCTTCCAATGGGAGATAATTATGAATTAGTGAAAAATCAATGCATTCTTAAAAAATCTTCTCAAGAACCATGGGCCATGAAAGATGAAACTCATGTTGAAGCATCCTCAGGTAGTATAGATTCAAGTTTGTTCAAATCATGACCCCCGGGGTAGGGTGGGGCCACAATGGCCGATCAAAGTTTTACATAGGAATATATAGCAAAAATAATTAAAGAACCCATTGGGACAGAAAAGATGAAACTCATGTTGAATCATCCTCAGATAGTGTACATTCAAGCTTGTTCAAATCCTGACCCCCGGGGGTAGGATGGGGCAACAATGGCCAATCAAAGTTTTTCATAAAAATATATTGGAAAATTGTTTAAAAATCTTCTTCTCAAGATCCATAGGGATAGGAAAGATGATACTTAAGTTAAATCATCCTCAGATTAATGTACATTCAAGTTTGTTCAAATCATGACACCTATCGGGTGGGGCCACAATGGCCGACCAAAGTTTTACATAGGAAAATACAGGAAAAAACCTTAAAAATCTTTTTCTCAAGAACCATCGGGACAGAAAAAATGAAACTCACGTTGAATCATCCTCAGGTAGTGTACATTCAAATTTGTTCAAATCATGACCCCGGGGACAGGGTGGGGCTACAATGGCCGATCAAAGTTTTACATAGGAATATATAGGAAAAATCTTTAAAATTCTTCTAGTAGTATTAAAATTCTAGCCCCCTCTGAATTCTGCTTTTTTCTAGCTCAAGTGAGCTATGTGGCCCCTGGGCCTCTTTTCTTTTTTTTGTTTGACAGGTTTTTTGAAGGTCTAAAAAAGTTTTCTTAGACTTAGCCCCCCCCCCCCACTTTCAATTTGCTTCCGACGCCAATGTTATTGATATAGTGACAATTCCTCAGTAATAAAAAATTCACACCCTTCCCCAACAAGAAAACTTTTCAATACTGAGCTGATGTGGTCCATGGGCCTCTTGTTTATGTTGATGACATATATTTATTGTTCATTTTATATTTATAACATTTCCCGGCATAGGCATTTGTTTTGTGGCATTAGTAAAATCGATTATATTTTATAATAGTATTGATCTAATTCATTACAGAAACAAGTGACATTGGTGTTGTTGTCGAATGCAGTAATATCAATAGTAATTATCCCTGAACGAGTTTCCTTCGAAAAAAAAAAACTGAATGAGAACAAATCATAGTCTGAAGGGCTGGAAACATGGCATGGATACATTTGTGACATATGGTGACCACTTCATAGCCCTTTTATATTTTGAGGGATACCAACAGTGGCAGAGTGTTTTTTTTAAAATTAAGTTTCGAGGCCTACCTACCATCCGTTCCCTCATCGTCAAAGTCAGAACAACGTAAACGTGCGGTACAAAGGTTTAATATATATATATATATATATATATATATATATATATATATATATATATATATATAGCTCCATGATAAACTGGTGATTTTAACTTTTCAATCGTCAACGCCCCTTATGCACTCATGCATTTTATTTTCTCCAAGAAAAACTTTTAACATTTGTACAGATGAATCTTGACTCCTTACTTACGGCAACTCAACCAAGGAACACAAACAAAAACAGAAGGAATACCCGTGAGAAAAATGAAGGCCTTCGTCTAACTATTCAAAATTTAATACCAAGGTTAACTTTTTTTCTAGTTTGTGAAAGTCAAAGGTCAAGGTAAAAATATTTAAATCTATGGAAAGACCTTGTTTCAATAAATACACATGTGAGATATAAAAGCATGAGTTCTAACTATTTAAAAGTTATGACCAAGGTTAAAGTTTTGCAAGAGTGGGTCAAGTTCCAAGGTAAAGGTCAAATATATTGGACCAAACGAAATACCTTCTCACAAGCAATACACGTGTGAAATATGAAAGTCATAGCTCCAATTAATCAAAAGTTATGGTTTTGCGGACAAACAGATAGACAGACGGACGGGGCAAAAACTATATAACCCCAAGTCTTCGATTACGGGGCTTGTAAAATTACATACAACTTAGTCTTATTGATAGTTTTCTGTGGGAAACTATAAATTTTAACACGAGTTATGCTCTTTTTAGAAGCTCTTAAATAAATGAATAAATAAAAATAAAATTATTATGAAGAAAAAAAGAAACAAGAGGCCCAGGGGCCACATCGCTCACCTGAGCACATGGGCTAGAGAGAAGCACAAATCAGATCAGAACTGAAAAGTTTGCGAGGGGGGGGGTTGAATTTTAATACTACTTGAGATATCCTCCATATCAATACAGCATATAACTGTGCTGTTCTTGAGAAAAAGGTTTTTAATGATCTTTTTTACATTTCGTTTGTATATATTACTTTGTTATAATTTAAATTTGATTCCCCATTGTTTCCCTCCCTACCCCAAAGGGTCATGATTTGAACAAATTTAAATCTTCAATGCATGAAGATGCTTACATGTCAATATGACTAAGCATAGCTTTTCTGTTCTAGGGATTTTTCCCTTTATTTTCCTATTGTAAAACTTTACTTTACCATTTAGACCCCTCCCTACCTTAGGGGATATGATTTGAAAAAAAAATTAAATCTACACTACCTGAGGATGCTTCTATATAAATATCACTGATCATGGCTTTGCTATTCTTGAGAAAACATTTTTTGAAAATACATTTTAATGTAAAACTTGGATCCCCGATTGCGGCCCCACCCTACCTCTGGGGGTTATTATTTGAAAAAAACTAAAATCTATTCTACTTGAGGATGCTTCCATATAAATATCATTAATCATGGCTTTGCAGTACTTGAGAAGATTTTAAAAGATTTCCCTACACATTCCTATGTAAAACCACCCGACCCCCAGGGGTCATGATTTGAACAAACCTGAATCTACACTACCTGAGGATGATTCAACATGTCATTGAGTTTCCTGTCTCAATGGTTCTTGAGAAGAAGATTTTTCAAAGATTTCCCTTTATATTCCTATGTAATACTTTGATCGGCCATTGTGGCCCCACCCTACCCCCGGGGGTCATGATTTGAACAAACTTGAATCTACACTTCCTGAAAATAATTCAACGTGAGTTTCATCTTTTCTGTCTCAATATGCTAACATTTTTCCTGTATATTCCTATGTTAAATTTTGATCGGCTTTTGTGGCCCGGCCCACCCTACCCGGGGGGCATGATTTGAACAAACATAAATCTACATTACCTGAGGATAATTCCACATGAGTTTCATCTTTCCTGGCCCAGTGGCTATTGAGAAAAGATTTTATAAAAATGCCATTATTTTTTCACAAATTCATAATTTTCTCCCCGTGGGGGAGGGTGTGGCCCTTCATTTGAATTAACTTGAATTCCCTTCACCCAAGGATACTTTGTGTCAAGTTTGGTTGAAATTGACCTAGTGGTTCTTGAGAAGAAGATGAAAATGTAAAAAGTTTACAACGACTACGACAACACTGTAAAAAAATAACTAAAGTCACGAAGAAAACTAGTAAATTTACTGTCCATACAATCACTACCTTAAAAGTAGTTTTACTAGATATTGGTATATTTACTAAATAAGATCAGTAAATTTAGAATTGATGTAAGTAACTTTCACTAGGTATCTAAATATCTATACGACCTCCGCTCCACAACTCACTATCTTAACCAGTAAAATGAAAGTTTACTAATCACGACTAATGCTTTACGAGGCACACTAGTTAAATTCACTAGGTTTTTCTTTCAGTGAACGACGACAGACGACGGACAAATTTTGATCAGAATAGCTCACTTGAGCTTTTGGCTCAGATGAGCTAAAAAATGAATAGATAAATAAAGAGATATCGAGATGATTGATATTTAAACTGTCTAGGGAATAAACATTTTAGACATCTTGTGAAAAAATATCAATGACAGGGTCGATATTGACCAATAACGAACTTGGATCTTCCCCTCTTTACACCATTCACCGAGGGTTATCAATTCGTTAAATAAAATTTTATGAACTTATAAACTTTTTATACAAATCTAAAAAATACTATAACAGAAAATAACAATTAAAAATCTTGTTTTGGAAACTTCTCCTATTTCCCCTTTAGAAAGGTTCTTTAAAATATGTTAAAATACAAGTTAAATGAAGGGTAATTTAACCAACACACTGGAAGATCAAAATATGTTTATAAACTATCAACTTTATATTGAACTACTACCCGTTAAGGGATTAGGGGTATCAATATTAGCTTCTCGGACGTATCGAGGAACGTTATGCGACCAATAACTATTTTCTTTTCAGATTAAACGATGACATTTGACAAAATGTGTTTAAAACTCGTTACTTTCAGTCGATAACTCGAATTAAAACCTGTTTCAGTACATTACATGCAGATAAAGAAAAGGTAAGGTATTGATAAGCTCAATCAAAAATTGAATCTTCGTTATTTCCATATCTTACAAAATTATAAGTTTGCTAACACCATTTACAATAAGAGTAAAAAAAATATTAGGTCTGAGAAATTTTAATGTAATATTATATGTACAGGAAAATATTAAGAAAAAAGATTTCTTTAATCACTTGGTTGTCAATTAAGTTGAATATTTCTTCATATATCAGTTGCTACACTAGGCAAGTTGAACCATTTCAAACAAGCACCCAGTTGAACGTGGCGGTGTCCCCCAGATTCTTGCAAGGAGTCAAAATAACGCAGTAGGAATTCAGGTAAGACAGTTCATTCGTTCTTAATTGGTTCCACAACAAATAGTAATATTTGTGTCAATAAAACAATAGCTAATTTTCTCTGAACCATACACGGTGCTCTTGAATGATGTGTTAGTTTTAACTTTAGTTGTTAATGAAGTTTATTTATCGCATACTTGTTCATTTGGACTTCAGAAAAATTACAGAGGAAAATCAATAGTACTTTGATTTGCAAATATCTAATTTGACGCGGGGATCGAAACATTTCGTCATTTACAAAAGAAAACGAGTAGTTTTTTTTCAAATATTAAGTGATGTTGAAATAATTTTTTTTTAGGAACATCTATCGAAAAAGAGACAATTTCAAGAAGACTCTTTCAAATTAAAATTGCCCATGATATATAATCGAAACTTCAATGAGAATTACATAATAAAGAGCTCCTCGCATTGTACTGGGTCTGACAAAGATAATCCAAGGGGGATTAAGGGATAGAAAAGAGTTCAGCTTAAAAATTATTTTTTGTGTAAGTTGGGACACTAAGTGATAAACATTTCCATAATGTATACTCTTAATTTTAAAACGTGTGATAGCTGATGACGTTGGTCTTTAATTTAAAAAGATTTACTGGAAAAAGAATACTTCGATCAGTGAAGAAAAAAAGTAACCGTTTTACCCATTTAAGAATGAAAGAAATGAAAAGCATATAAATCAGATAAATTCAAACGACCTCAAAAATGAATGTAGAACTATTATTTACTAAAGAATAAAAAAGGGATAAATCTTCATATTTCTCTTCCACATTTATTATTCAGAGCATTTATAATTTGAAGAAAGGGATACACTATATAGAATTAATGGATACTTATGGGTCTCCGTTGATTTTAGTTGTGCCTGAAGTTGTTTTCTTACTTCCAAACATAAAATCCATAGTAGATATCTTCGTTGTAAAATTTCCGACAAATATTATCTATTGTAATGAATGCAATCAGAATGTAGGAAATAGTTTAACTTGTAAGGCACTTATAATTAGGCTACAAAATAGAAATCATCAAACTTGCAACAAAGCCTTCTTAATCATTTCTTGTTCTTTATGATTTTAACCTTTAAATTATGATGTGTCTTAATATTAATCAATATTTTGAAAATTTAAAAAACACTTGCATATAAGGACAAAGATAAGATATACACATTATCGGAGAGAAATATTTACTTAACCTTTTGAGTTTTGAGTTGCTTTGGATCTACGCTAAGATTTATTGAGGACTAACTTCTTATTTCACATTGATATCAAATAATTTTTTGAACTTTAAATTACCAAGGAACATTTTAATCGTAAGAGAGAGAGAATATGATAAAAGTCCTTTAAATATGTATATGCATTCCCGTTTATTTTGAACACTAAGGCCACCAGCGGGTATTCGGAATGCTTGGCGTTAAGTTTTCATCCCTGTCTGTTCAAGTGCCATTAGTTGGATTAAAACAACAGTAACTGAGAACTCTTCCCCAGGATAAGGGGGCACTAATTCCGTGTATAACACCACTCTTTCGGAGTTGTGTTTTGCTCTGATTGCACGTTCCCTTCTTTTGTACACAACTTACCCATTTACTAAACAAACCCTGAAATACTTTCATAGCTCTTGAGAACAAAACTCTGGAAAATACTCCAGAAAAACATTTAAGATCTTGATGGGTCTTATACATCAAAGATAATCCACATGAAGTCAACAGTTTGGTCAGCAATGTTACTTCCATCTGTCTCACTGTCAAACATTTCAATTTCACAGTTTCACGCTTTTACTATGCAATACTTGTTTATAAGAAGATTAATGTGAAAAATCATGAAGCATTCTTCTCTTTATTCTGGTATGAAAAAATTGCCGATTTTAATTTATCAAAGATAATCCACCTGATCTTAACAATTTGGACCGTATGTTACTTCCATTTAGTGTCAAACATTTCAATGTTTTGACCCAATTGGTATGTAACACTTGCATGACTATATAAGGAATAGATTTTGATACACCATTTAACAGAATCCTCTTTAATATGCTAGTATTAAAGTGGCCGAATTTAATATATTTTTTTGCATAAAAATGCATAACATATTTTTATCAGAAAATATTCAGCTAATGTAGAAGTACTTTTTTCCGCGTGGTATTAATTTACGCTATGTACGCGCTCACAATTTTTCAGCAGAAATTTGTCCAAGCGTACTTAATATAAATGTAAGGCATATATAGTGACAATCTAGAAAATCCGCGTAATTTTGTACCCGTGGATTAAACAGAAATTGAGATTCCGCAGAAATATGACCCCGTGGAAAAAAGTACGTCTACAGTATTTCTTTTCTAATTTTGTGATCATTTTTTGGTTATCAAAATTGCTTGGGATGGAAAACGTAATATTGAAAAAGGAAAGTAGAATACGAGAACACTAAAATAGAGTTAAAAATGAGTACAGAAGAAATTTACGTCCCAAAAAATTGCAGTAAAGTAATTAAATATGTCTTGTTGGATGCTCCTCTGAAGTTGTAAAAATCAATATGAAAATATAAGTTGGAAATGAAGAATCCTAATAATTTGTGAATGTCTCGTTAATGATAGAGAATTGGTGGTATCCATTTCAAAAAACTTATTTGCATACTCACGCAATCCGTGATCCCCTTGTGACACTTCGAATCGATTCCGACCAATTATCGTGTCTGCTTCAGTATGCATGTTAAAGTACAAGAAAAGACTGATTGCACTTTAACATACATGTATAACACCTGTTTAATGCTTTCTGTTTTTATATGCAATGGTCATTTGATTAATAAGGGATGGCTTATATTATTATAACTTTAATTTCAACATAATTTCTTAAAACAAAATTTTTATCATTCACTTTTCAATAAAATGAATCAATCAACGAAACTGTTTCCAAGATTACAAAAACATTCATATTGTAATACAACTTCTTTCAGTTCAATGTTAAGATGGCTTGGGTTACATTCAACAGCCCTCTTTGGAAAAGAGAAATTGTCCAAGACAAAGTAAAACCCCTTCCTTCGATGAAAAAGAGAAGAAAAATGGAATCAGGATTTATAAACGACGGAATCAACACAAAATTCACTACCAACCGCAGAAAGCCTATCATACCACCCTACAACGCCATGCAGGACCGCTATGCGCAGGCGTACTTCCAGTCTCCATTCGTAAAGGCCATGATGGAGAGGAATTCTCAACTTAAGGTAAGCTACATGTAGTATATTTGTGATATATAATAATATACTAATGATTAATAACTAATCAATACATACTAATAATATATTAGTGAGCTAATATGCAATAGTAAAAATTAAACTTACAGAGTGTAATTTTCTGCCTTTGGATTTAGTTCTGTATATAATTCTAGTTCAGAAACTTTAGGATTTTGTGATTTTCAATCCTTCTCCCCGGTCGCAAAATGTTCAGTTTTCGAAAAGACTCGTGGTTACAATTTTCTAGTTGCGTAGTTTTGCTTATATAACTCGAGTATTGCAATCAAATATTACACAGATGCTCAACTTCCTGAAATGTGTATAATTAGTTAGTTTATTTATCAAATAGTTTGTTTATTTAGTCAGTAGAGGTACACAAAGCTCAGAATCTGAAGTAGAGTACACACGATGACCATTAGGACTAGTGAAAGAAGCAGCTGTGTTTGATAGAATAAGATTATACACAGTAAAACATTGTCGCCAACACTGTCGTCAAGAAATTTGTTAAATGAGTACTTCTCTATTTTTCATTAATTTTTTTTTTAAATATAAAAATTTCCCGATTTTAAAACTGTTCAATATTTTTTCTCTTCAGTTTTCTTCTCTCAGAAAACTAAAAGTAAAGCATGCACTTGCTTATGATACTGGTAAATTTGGAATATGTCAAAAACGATAAGATTTTTTTACTAGTAGTACTGGTTTCCCATTTAAATAAATGGCAGCACATTCAGGGAGCAAATGCGTTGTCAAGGTAGAACACCTGCGTTATAAAAACCCCCAAACGCTAGTGATTGGACATTCATAATTCATTATGACGTTGAGAGTTTGGGAAGTAGAGAACGAGAGAGCAAGTAAACTCCCTTGCAATCATGACTATCTAATCAACCGATTACAGAATTTGTACGGGAAAAACTTGGGTGGACAGGTAGAGGATGCACTAAGGTATTACAAGGTAAATCTCAGTTACATCGTCAATAAGTGATATTCTTTTAACTTGAACTTAGTCAACTTGCATTATCATGGGTAAATGGAACGGAATCTTCTACTAGAATGGAATTCATAAACAGCTAGAATCTTCTACTGAGGTGTACAATAGAAGTCAATGAAACAGACAAATATTTTTGTTGTAACTTAAAATTAGAATAGATGATTGAATCGATTTAAAAAACAAATCCGATTTCAAAATTCATGGTTCTCCATAAATTTCTCAAGGCTGTGGAATGTGTTTTATGAATAAATAAGATTGGTGATTGATTTTATGAATTTGATTTAAAATTTGCTTTTTAAATAAGTAATCTTTTATCCAAGAGAGAATTAATTTTAAATATGTTTGTTACTTGAGTTTGACCGTAGGAGATACGCTATTGAATACTTTAATTTTTGGGGTTGAATTACTTCTTTGCATTAATCAAGTGAATATTTCAAATAGTGTTTTTAAAGTATTTTGTGGAATTAATATTTTTTTTTAATATTTTGCAGAATATCTTTTAAATACTATACTGCTTGATTAATTTTACATAAAAATCAAAGGAAAATTGAATTTTTAAAAATTTAACCATGGATCCATTTAAATTATGTGTTTTCTGTTACTCTGCTGGCATTAATTCCAGTCGTTTGTCGTCATTTAAATTGTTTAATGAAGCTTTTATCTATATGATATACTGAGTGACATTTCTAAATACTGGCTCAGCAGATGAGTTTACAGTCGTATAAATGTAAACGATCATGTGTATTTTGTAACCCTATATGTTTCTAAGAATAGTTCATCAAAATTTAATCCCTGAAGCACTTAGCAACTGTCTCTAAAATCTTCATCCGATTATATATTGATAGTTTTTATTTTTCACTGTTTATTATTCTTTATCTTTAAAAATACATCTTTATATCTTTTTTTTCTAGGAATTGCAACAAAGCCAGGAAAATGCTAGGAACTTAAACAAGTTGAGCCACAGGTATCGCTGTAAACGTACTCCAACAGTGGAGGAAATTCGGGCTAGAGAGCAGACGTTTGTCAATGACGCCATTATTACGGAAAGAAAACGCACAAAATACAAGGACATCATCCCCGTGTACAACGCGTCACATGATCGCCATTGCCTGGGATACTTCAAAAGACCGGATGTGAAACATCTGATTAGCATAACTTGTACACCAACTGGTTCGTTCAGTTTTGACAGTAAATTTAAGAATCCCAGACGACCAAAACTAAGGGCTTCGGTTGCTTAAATGAACTGTGACCTGATAGTATATAATGCAGATCTTACCTTTCTGTGATAAATATTTTGGTTGTGATGTTAGTGTCAAAAATAATATTTCTGTGTACAGGGAAGACTTTCACCCCAGTTTCCTTTTCGTTTTAAATGAGCAAATAAAAACGAGGCAAATTTAAAGAAAACGCTTTGACTTTTAAGGGACTCCGACCCTCAGCCAGGAAGGACAACTCTTTAATTTATAATTTGATTCAAAAAGTCTTTAAATGAAGCTTGAAAATTAAATATTTTCATGCAACAATTTTCATTATATGCCTCTCAATGTGCTTCAAGGTTCTTTGCAAAGCTCTATAAATTACTTCTAATTTCATATCATGTTAATAAACATTGGTATCTAAAATTGCTTTTTCGGGATAAAGATTTCTACTTTTAATTAGACCTTTATTAGAAGTTTAAAGAACCTTGAAGCACATTGAGAGGCATATAATGAAAATTGTTGCTTGAAAAGATTTAATTTTCAAGCTTCATTTAAAGACTTTTTTAATTAAATTATAAATTAAAGAGTTGTCCTTCCTGGCTGAGGGTCGGAATGGACAGTGTTTGGGCAAATTTAAAATGGGACAAAATTGTTTGAAGGTTTAAAAGGACAAAAACAAGATGGGGCAAAAAATAAACCTGTAAACAGTTTTATTAGTAAGTCAATGTAGATGCAAATTTATAGCCATGTATTTTTATTGTGTCAGATATTCTATTCATAAAATTGCAATAACTTTTGTATTTTTATAAAGCTACCGAATTCACGTTCACCATGCACAGTCTTGCTGATATTTTTTTTTACACCAGAGTCATTGACTGATGCTAGTTCTATTTTCTATTTAAAATTAAAAGCTATGAACACTGAGCAAGAGTCATCGACGAACGTTTATGCCCTGTGCTTTTCTGCGTTTATATTTGTATATATTTAATTTGTAAATTGTTATTTTTACTCCATTAGCGTATGTATATATTTTTTTACGAACATATGCAAGCAATATTAAACCTGTTTATGCAATGCTAAAAGTTTTTCTTATATGACTTAGTAAAAATCTTAGCCTTCTCCACAGGAGTACGCGTATGTACCTGTCAATTTTACCGAATTTTTTAGTAAAATTTTCAATGAAAAAACCCGAAATAACTGTTATTAGGTATATAGGTATTACGTATTTTTTTATTTACTGAAAATTTCGATAAAATTGATAGGTACGAGAACTTCTGAGGTCTTCTCAGTTACAATGTTGAAGAAAGGATTGTCAGGACAACTCTCATACTTGAAAGTTATTCAAGTGTACTTAAACATCAAGAGACGATTACATGAAAGATCGATTATTAAGTTTTGAAGTCACTTATACCTGAATAATAAGACTCTTCAGTACTAAACCTGTCTAACTTTCAACTCTGTTTTAATACATGTATATTGAAAGGTTTTAACTTTGCCAAAAAATCTTAAAATGCAAAGCACGCTGATGTTAATTAATTTAAAAACAATCGTTTCTTGTCCGTTTTCGGATAGTTTTTTTTTCAGCGACTTTAAATAGTCTAATGTTACCGTTGAAATGAAAACATTTTTCTCAAAAATCATCAAAGAAAACAAGTTCTTTGGGAGGATAGCAAAATTTATGTTTTGAAGAAAATATAGATGTTCACGTATTTTTATGACAACATACATTAGCCTATTAAATGAGTATCCGACTAAATATCACACTCAATCCTAATTTTTTTTTTGAAAATTGAAAACCGATTGATTGATTATATGTCGCCAACGAATTTGAACACAGAACCTCAGTTTTTAAGGTCTCATCTGAAAGACCCACAACGTTAATTTCAATGTGCCGAGCGAAACAGTTGCTACCCCCTTTTTTAAAAAATAAATTTAGGTCAGTTGCGGCGAAGGTTAGAACCCACGGTCTCTACCAATCGAACTACCGTAAAAGGGTAATGTTACGATAACGAACAGCAATCAAGCTTAATTATCTATTGTAATTGTAATTTATTTATTGCTCAGGATAAACATCCTATGGCATATTACAAAATGTACAATAATATTTACATTGGAAATGAACGACTGTTTAAATGAAAGAAAAAAAAAGTAATAAATAAATGATATTGTGTCTATGACAGGGATTATACAACAATAATAATACCTTTACAGATTTACAAATGTAACAAGTACAATATACATGTAAAGTTTACATATACATATTAATTATTGGCAGTTTCTTATTTCAAAAGCTTTTGAAATATATTTTCAAAGGTTACAGAGTTCTTTGACATTATTAACACCAATGAGCTGTATAAATTTAAACACAGAGGGTTACTACAATAATATTTCTTAATGATTTTTTTCTCTGGTCTAAGTATTTAGGACATATGAGTATGAAATGATATTCATCCTCTATATCTTTAAGTGATTTACAAATTGGACAGAATCTTTGGTCTCTTGGGATATTTGTGTGCCTGCCAGTTTCAATCAATACGTTGTGTGAGGACAAACGAATTTTAGATATACATTTCTTAAACAGTTTTGGAATAGGCTTGCCTAAGTAATATTGTAAACATTTACAGAAGTTACTAATCAAGTGTTTATATATACTACACTTTTACCCCTAAAATTTGGATTCTCACACTCACTATATGAAATATAATAATAATGTCGCTTTCAAAATACAATTGCTTGTATGTAGCAATTTAAACCATTATTTAAACATTCTATAAATACGTGAAAATATACAAAGGCATACGGTCAGTTTCAAAATAAAGCATCACAGTGTTGGTATTCTTTTTCACTCCTAGTACATTCATTAAAAAATCTAAATGATTTATTTCAATATCCAGGGCCTTATGATGACCCCACACTTCACATCCATAATTCAAAATACTGCTTACATATGTGTCAAAAAGAGATAATGTTGTAAAGTGGTTTAAATATAATTCACTTATGGATGCTTTAAGAGCAAGCATAGCTTTACGTCCCTGAGAGGCTAATTGCTTCTGGGTCACCAAGAATTTTTCATTAATTAAAATTTAAAAGTAATCCAAGATACACAAAATGATCCACCACCTTGAAACAATCGACAACAGGGAAAAGATTGATCTCTCAAAACATCAGAAATGGAATCAGGTGCCTTGGAGGAGTAAGTATCAACTTTCTACTGATCATACAGACCTTGGCTACTTGTAATGATTGAGAAAATAGAAAAAAAAGTCACCTTTATCACAAAGTTTTGTTTTTCGGTCATCATAATAGTCTTTTTCTAATACAATAATTAAACATGAAACTTGAATGAATTCTAATTTATAGAATGGCAAAATAGGTCTGTTAATAACGGGGTAAAATCTTGTGATTTCATTTTTATAGAGATCCTTGTAGTTTTTAAGTATCCACATCCACTTTTATTATACTTTGTTAACAGTCCTAATAAAGTTTCTCCATTGTTGTTCATATTTGATTAAGGAGTTAATAAAGAGGCTTCGAAGAGTATTTGAATTTACTGGAACCTCTGTTTATAAGAATTTCCATAGGGATTAGTATACGTCTGTATACGCTTATTCAAATTTCATCTGGTTGTTGGGAACATTTCAAAAAGTAAAATACCAGTTTTGGGTCAAACATGAAAAAAAGACATTGAAACATTGTCAGAATAGAGGAAAAGTATTAGTTGGATGAGAAAAAAAATCTCTCATGAGGCGATCAAGGAGCAGTATGAAACTCGTCTATCCTTCTGTTATCAATAATTCAGATTAGGGAAAAAAGAGTACTCGACCTATTTTTGTATTCAAATAAAGCAGAATTTGTGCAGAATCTTATGAGAGAAAAGAAAAAAAAACACTTGCTGTGGCCTTCAACTCGACATTAAGATATATCGACGACGTATTGTCAATTAACAATAGTGATTTCCATTCCTATGTCGATACGATATATCCTGGTGAGCTTGAGATAAAAGATACCACAGAGTCTGACATATCTGTTTCATATTTGGATATATTACTTGAAAAGGGCGTTAATGATAATCTAACAACCAAGTTCTATGATAAACGTTAAGACTTTTCAATCGTCAATGCAAGTTCCCTTTTTATGCAGCAATATACATTCATCACCTGCATACGGAGTTGATATATCTCAGTTGATTCGATACGCAAGAACATGCTCTACGTAAGTAAAATTTCTAAAACGAGGTATATTACTGACAAACAAGTTGATGAACAATAATAGCAGTCTTGTTTAAAGTCACCATTTTGTAAGTTCAATGGTGGATACAATTGTCTTGTCATCAATTAAGATATCTTTGAGACAAATGCTGACTGACGTTTTCATACTAATTTTTAGTCCATTATTTATATACTGAATTAACGACGGATTTTTCTGTTATTCCCCAATCATGAGAAGGAGCACATGGTGGGTGTGACCAGTCGGCAGGGGATGCTTACTCCTCCATGGCACTTTCAAGATCCCACCTCTGATGTTTTGGACATCCGTGTTCGCTCTGCTCCTTTTTATGTTCCCCAAACGAAGTTGGGGAACATATTGTTTTTACTCTGTTTCTTCTTCTTCTTATTATTATTATTAAGGTCTTCCGTCTTCAGCGGAAGACCTTCTTGTTATTCTTAGGTTTCTTTTTCACTTTTATTATTATTATTGTTTTTTTTTCTTACCGATTTTGTGCACGCGATTTCTCGAAAACGGCTCGATGGATTTCCATGAAACTGTCAGGACTTATGTAACATCACTTGAACCTTATGCGTTTTTTTCTGTTTTGATGACGTCACTTCCGGTCCGGAGTTATCAGCACAAAATTGATTTTTTAAGGGTCAGTTTGTCCGCACGATTTCTCCTAAACGACTTTAGATAGACACGTGATACTTTCAGGTCTAGTAGACCTATGTCTGTAGATTTGTGGAATGTATTTTATTTTTACCGGAAGTGCTGCACGTCGGCGCTCGGTATGGCCCGAAAATAGGCCTATCGCGAATTTCAAAATTTTTAGCACTTTTTCTACGATATCTTTTTACCTGGAAATATTTTGTTAAAACATATAGAACAAAAGAAGTGTAGAATTTTAAGTTCTTCCAAATGATATCTCGGAAAAAGGGCTGGCCCCTAATATTAGGGGTCTACAGGGGCCGAAAGTTTTTCCTTTATATCTCAAAAAGTATTGAGAATTTGTAATACGTCTATGAAGCAAAGTTGTTCAAAATGTCAAGCTTAATCTAATGGAGTCGTCAAAATACGTCCGTCGACGTCATTTCCGGCCAAACCGGAAGTAGTCGAAAAACGCGTATTTTTACCGTTCTTGAAAAGTTTTTGGGTAACATCTGTCACTGGGAGCATAAAAATTAATTCTATGTCCGTCGTCAACACTTCCGGTCACACGGGAAGTAGCATAAACTTCCGGTCAAACAGGACGGAAGACCTACTCGTTGCTTTGCAACGA